TATGGTCACTGTGGAGCAGATGTCTGGCCTCCTTGTGATCTCTGTGGCCATCTTGGGTGAGGGCAGAGCTTAGTTAAGCCCCTGGCTCCCTGATTTGGCATGTATGTGCTAAGTGGCTAGGGAAAGGTTCCAAAGGAGTAGGGAAAGTGCAGGGACTACATCTGCCTCCTTGCAGCAGCTCTCCTATTGGGTTGGACTGGCCAGGCCACACTTCTACCCCTCTCTGCAGGCGCTGTTAGCAGCGTCCAAATGCAGGGTCACTGCTGTGAGTTTTGAATGTGTCTCTGAATGTCTGTGTTTACCTGGTTGTGCCTTATTGGAACATCTTGAATATATCCAGTTTATTGCACTCCTCTTCTGTGTGTGTTCTCTCAGCCACCACACCATGCTGCACCTTGCTCACAGGCTGCTGATGGGATGATTTGCTGCAGTGTTGGGATGCAGAGAGGCAGAGTTGCTAACATCTTCTGGTCTGTGGAAATGCCACTAATTATGAATGAACACAGCACACCAGACAGCTATGAGTGCTTGAAAGGTAGAGAATGGCCTCAGCCACAGCTCCTCCCAATAGCCCACACACTCTAATGTGTTTTGCACTGCCCCTGGGGCTTAGTGATAGAAGTATACCTCTATGACTAAGCCCCAGGGTGAGGTGAAACGCGTCAAAGGCTGTGGCCTATTGGGAATAGCTGTGGCTGAGGCCCATTCTCTACCTTTAAAGCACTCAGATTTGTCTGGCATTTGCCAGAGACTGTCGGAGCACTATATTTGCATTTCCACTTAGTCAGGAAACTCCTTAGTATAGGGATTAGGGGTAATGTAATGTAAAAAATGTTCCACTTGTAATTTATTGAGTTACACATTATTTTGTAACTGTTCCCTTATACTTGTTAAAGTGTTTATTACTGCCTTTCTATAATTTGGTTTATTGTTTTACTGTATGATGCACAAATAAATATTTTTCGCCTCAGTCTTAGTGTGTCAGAGGGTGTGCCATTGCCGGGAAGGATACTGACTTTAAGAGTCAGGGAACCCAACTTCTTCGGGGCTAAGCTCTACATGCTTTAATTCCACTGTCAGCATTATGAAACCAAAGTATTTATTGTGTTAGTTCACAAAAATCCACCACTTTTGAAGTCTGAATGAATCAAGTTTATTTCTTGTATGAGGGAGTTGAAAGTCTGTGTTGCCCAGCGACAGCCCCAAAACATCACTGCTCTAGAGGAGATCTGCATGGAGGAATGGGCCAACATACCAGCAACAGTGTGTGCCAACCTTGTGAAGACTTACAGGAAACGTTTGACCTCTGTCATTGCCAACAAAGGATATATAACAAAGTATTGAGATGAACTTTTGATATTGACCAAATACTTATTGTCCACCATAATTTGCAAATAAATTCTTTCCAAATCAGCCAATGTGATTGTCTGGATTTTTTTTCTCATTTGGTCTCTCATAGTTGAGGTCTACCTATGATGCATGTCTACCTAATACATGTCAAAAACCATACAGAGACCTGGTGGCATATTTATATAATTAGCATATCTTTCAATTTTTAACCCCTCCCTATAAAATAAAATAATTTAATTACAGTAATGAAGCACCACGCTGATTGCTGGGTGTGGCCTTAAAAGGGCACAGTTGTATACCACCTGAGCCTTCTCACTTTATATACAGCACATGCCATAGTTCTCTTAGGCACAGATATACTGACACAAACCTCAGCACAATCAAATTTAAAAATGAAACTCCTCCATTACTTATGTTTTTCTGCACACACAGCCTACCTTAGGGAGTATATAGTGTATAGAAAGCAGTGGTAAAGAGAATGAAATGTACAGCATAGTGTCTATAGTGTAGGACTCACGAGTGTATAATGCAGAGAGTGCAGGAATCAGGAATGCATACCAAGGAGAGCGCAGGGGCCAGGAGTACGCAATGCTGAGAGAAAGAGTAGGGGTCAGCAATGCATATCCCATAGTGTCCACAACTCAGGAGTGTGTAACACAGAAAGTACAGGGCTAAGCAATGTGTAATACAGAGAGTACAAGGCTCAGGATGTGTAGCATAGAAAGCAGAGGGCTCAAAAGTGTGTAGTGCAGAGTTCAGGGCTTAGGAGCATTTACCATAGGGAGTATAGGACTCAGGAGTATATGACGAAGAGAGTGCAGGATACAGAATACAACCAAAAATGACCTCCTCCTCCTAATATAAATCCCCTCCACCCATCCAAGTCCATAACCCATAAAGTACAGATCTCCCACAACAGCCCTAATTCCACCTTGGTACAGTTTTCCCTTCACAGACCTAAATTTCCTCTCAGTACAAATCAGGACAGTTACCTCTCCCCCTTAGTATTGACCATCCTCAGTTTTTTTATGCCAGCCCTGCAGCACCCCCCCCCCCCCCCCCCATCCCTCTCGAGCACCGGACTGCACCGCTTAGCTATGGCACTGCAGATGCTGACACAATTCAACCGTTCCTAGCTTTAACTTATGTTGGAGAATTTGTTTAATCTCTGTGTACCACCTGAGGTTAGCCACATCACTGAGTATATGTAAGGGTTTACAACCACTTTAACAGCTTCTGCGCTGCCCTATAGCATCAAATACTGCTACAGGGCGGCACGGGTGTGCAAAATCACATATATATACATGATTTTGCAGTTTCCTGGCCTCTGCATCAGTTTCATGGCCTCAGCTGTCAATCACCAGGTCCTGGCTGGTGATTCCCCACAGATCTCCTTGGATTTTCAACGGGGGGAGAGACCTGTATGTAAACAATACAGATCTCTCCCCTGTCAGCAGATCTCCTGCTAGCAGAGCCATGTAAAGCAGTGTGCTTACAGTGAAACACACACACAGCCCACATAGTAAAACAGTACACAGTTAACCCTTTGATCGCCCCACATGTGAACCCCTTCCTGCCCAGTACCATTAGGACAGTGTCAGTGCTTTTTGTTAGCACTGATCACTGTATTGGTGTCACTGGAGATGTCAGTGACACCAAGTCAGTTCCCCCCAATGTCAGAATGTCCAGCTATAAGTTGCTGATTGCCATCATTACTAGTAAAAAACCCTTTTTTTTTAAATTCCAGTATATATATACCGCCATTTGTAAATACTATAACTTTCACATAAACCAATTAATTTACATGTAATGGGATTTTTTTTTAGCAAACACAGGTAGAAGAATACATTTTGGCCAAAATTTATGACAAAATTAGATTTTTTTAATTTTTTTACTGGACATTTTTAATAGCAAAAAGTAAAAAATATAGTTCCTTTTTTCCAAATTGTCAGTCTTTTTTTGTTTATAGCGCAAAAATTCAAAAACGCACAGGCAATCAAATACCACCGAAAAAAAAATCTCTATTTTTGGGGGAAAAAAGGACAAATTTGTGTGCAGCATTGCATGGCCACCCAATTGTCAGTTAAAGTAATTCAGCGCCATGTTGCTAAAAATGGCCTGGTCAGGAAGGGGGGTAAATCCTCTGGAAGGAAAGTGGTTAAGAATCGAAAAAGCTTCACATTGAGGTAAACAATGGCCTAAATCTCCCCCACATACAGAACCATCAATATGTTCAATAGTGTGGAAGGAAAAAGAATCCATATTGCACCTATGCATGTTTCAAAAATGTTTATCGACATTGGATTTTCAAGACATGGTGGGGCATTGACATGCACAATAATGCAAATACTGTTTCATCTATAAATACATGCTGAGCTGATCATGTGAATTGCACTGTTTTCTTCTGTTTTCTGGATCTTGCTGCAGTGGAAATGTATTGCTCATGATGATTTTTGAATATAGAAACATAGAAGAGCAGCTGAATAGACAAACGGTCTATGGACAAGCTGGTTATTCAGCTGAACATCTTCATAGGTGCCTGTAGTGTGTAAGTTATTCTTGCCAGATACAACATCCATATTTCTGATATAAATAATTTGAATAGTTGGCAAACAGTTAACCGTCATGTGAATTTACTACCTATTCAACTGAGAGTTGTTTCCGTGTCTGTGCTGCATAAGTCATGGGCTGTATGAGCTAATGATAAATGAGTACACCGTCTGTCTCATTGCAAGTAGAGATGAGCTCAGAGGTCCTCTTAACTCATTTCTAGCTGGAACGCCTTACTCCGGCCTGCAGATCATTGGAGTACAAGAAATGGGAGTACAGGTTTTGGGTTAGAGAAGAGTTCAGAGGACGTCTGATGAACTCATCTCTAATTGCAACCTACATTTGTGTCTGTGCGCATTAGCCACCAGATGAGCAGGTTGTTTCCACATGTAACACCCTCCTAGATAGGTTCTATGATACATAGACTATAGTTGGTTCCTCTACTTAACAAGAGAACTGTTAGGGAAATCTAATTAGACTTTCTGCTTAACAGAGAGCTGTAATTGTTAGTAGTGCTTGCACAGTGTGCTCAAGTGCTGCTAGTCCAGTCCCTGACTTCCTCTGTATCCAAGTAACCTAGGAAGGTTCTGGATGTATAGATGGAACTCATGCAGTACACTGTATGAATAATAATGCCACTTCAGCCATCCCAGGGAGTGCAGCCCTGATAAATGCTGGGAGAGTGTATTTATTCTTTGGGACATACTGAGCCCTGGGTCTTTCCTGGAGAGGATTGCATCAGCCTGGGAGGAGGCACGCTGCCTCCCCAGGCACCTGCTGTCATGCGGTCTCAGGTGGGGCCTGAAGTAAGAGAAAGAGTTACCCTAGTTCTTCAGTATGCTGATGAGGGAGCTTTCCACCAAAGATCTGTCTGGTATCAATGGAGAGCATCGCCAAGGAATATTAGAAGGAGGCTACCATTCTGTCATTGTGTCTTTGAGTTTATTTTTTGTGCTATAAAAAAAAAACGGACAATTTTGAGAAAAAAAAAAACTTTTTGGACTTTTTTGCTATAAAACATGTCCAGTAAAAAAAATTTAAAAATCAAATTTCGCATAAATTTTGACCAAAATGTATTCTGCGACATGTCTTTGCTAAAAAAAAATCCCAATACGTGTAAATTAAATGGTTTACGTGAAAGTTATAGCGTTTACAAATGGTGGTACAGATACTGGATTTTTTTTTTTATACTAATAATAGCGGCAAACAGCGACTTATGGTGGTGATCAACAACTTATGGCGGCGATCAGCGGTACTTATGCGGCAGAAATTCTGACACTGGGGGGGAACTGACTTGGGGTCACTGACATCCCCAGTGACACCAATACAGTGATCAGTGCAAACAAAAAGCACTGACACTGTACTAATGGCACTAGGGAGGAAGGAGTTAACATTAAAAGACAATCAAAGGGTTAACTGTGTGAGGGGAGTGATTCACTAGGGGGCACGGGGGTGGGGGATGCTTCAATACCGGAAAGTTAAGTTCTGATCTCCGGAACAGTGTGCTAGAAACTGACAGGGAGAAGAGCTGCATTGAAAACAATCCAGCTGTGCCCCGTCAGTGTTTGCCGGGACCCGGCGGGTAATCACCGGCCGGGACCCGTTGATTGACACCCGCGGCCGCGAATGGTACCACGGGTAGGGTGGTCGCGTGCGCCCCCTACCATGTAAACAGGATGACGTTTATAAATGTGATCCTGACTACAGGGGCCGCTTTGCCACAGTAAATGTACTGTGGGTGGTCCCCTAGTGGTTAATGCCCAGTGTTACATTAACCACTTGAGTACCGGAAGGTTTTACCCCCTTCATGACCAGGCCATTTTCTGCTATTCAGTACTGCACTATTTTAACTGGTAATTGCTCTGTCATGCAATACTGTGCACAAATTACATTTTTATCATATTTTTCAAGCAAATAGAGCTTTCTTTTGATAATATTTGATCCCCACTGGGTTTTTAATTTTTTGCGATATAAATGAAAAAATACTGAAAATCAAAAATCAAAACAAAATTTTCTACTTTCTGTCATAAAACATATCCAATAAAATCAAATTTCACCACACATTTAGGCCAATATGTATTCTGCTACATGTCTTTAAATAAAAACAAATCCCAATAAGTGTATATTAATTGGTTTGTGTGAAAGTTACAGCTCCTACAAACTACGTATATATATTTGATCCTGATGTACTGACATCCTATCTCATTTTTTTGAGACCTTAGGACAGTACAAATTCCACCCAAATGATGCCTTTTTGGAAGCCAGTCTGAGGCATTTAATAAGAGGCATGGTGAGTTTTTTGAAGTTGTATTTTTTTGTTTTGAAACTGAAGAAACTGAATAAAATTAGTTTTTTGTTCATATTTGATTTTTTTCACATACTGTCACCAGTGCAGTACAGCATCACTGATGTGGCAGTCATCAGGGACACTTGTGACAGTATATAAAAAAAAAAAAACTTTTTATTCAATTTATAACATTTTTTTTTAATTTTTCATCAGAGTAGTTCAGTGTCACCATAGTAACAATACGATCAGGGGGTGATCAGGGATTTTTTTTTTTACGCTTTATTAAGTGTTCTTGCATGGCAAGACCACTTACTGTTATCTCACATATATATATTTATTATTATAGCCAAATTTACCACCCTAACTCCTCCCACAGTTTTTACACTACATAGACAGTAATATACCGAAACGTGCGGATTGTTCCCGATTGGTGTGCTATTACTTTGTGGAACGTTTCGCCGAATGGTTCACAAAATATCGGCATTTTTGTGGTGAAATTGGTCCCATAGGAATGAATGGCAGAATGTTCAAAACTAGAGTATAAGCTGACAAAAGCTAGAGTGTGAGCTGAAAAATCAGGACATGATTTCTAAACTGCCATCACTCCCTCGTTTTGAAGCCCACCTACACAAATCTTATATCAAAACGTTCAGCTATCCTTGCTGCCACTAAAAGCTAAGCCATAGTCCTGATAGTTTTCACAATATGACCATTTGTTTGCAACTCACGCTGCCCATTGACATTCATTGAAACTCCACTCTAGCCACCTCAAATTTGAAGGGCAATATCTAAACTGCGACTGTGCCTTCATTTGTAATATTTCAGAGACATACTATGCATCAAAATGTAGGTCTGGGTCTTGTGATTCTCACAATATAAAGCTCTTCCGTGTAGGATTTATAATTTTTAAACTACAACCGTTTGAAGATGGCAACCGCCAGTGAAGTGAGCAAGTTAGAGCAGTTTGTTTTTAACCGCTCTTCTCTGCCCTTGCTGTAGAGTGAGTTGCCATAGAAACCCAGGTGTGTGAGCAGGCAGCAGAGTGACAAAAGCTAGAGTGTGAGCTGAAAAATCAGGACATGATTTCTAAACTGCCATCACTCCCTCATTTTCAAGCCCACCTACGCAAATCTTATATCAAAACGTTCAGCTATCCCTGCTGCCACTAAAAATGTCCATGGCTAAGCCATAGTCCTGATAGTTTTCACAATATGACCATTTGTTTGCAACTCACAACGCCCATTGACATTCACTGAAACTGCACTCTAGCCACCTCAAATTTGAAGGGCAATTTTTTAATTTGATCAATCAATTGGTTAGTGTAATGTTTACTATCTTTACTCACTCCAAACACTCCACACAGTTACTCTGCCCACTCCATAAAGTTACTCTGCCCAGTCCAACCTTTTCACAGTTACTCCAGCCACTCCAACCACACAACAGTTACTCAAGCCACTCCACCCAGTTACTCCGCCCACTCCAGTTGTAGACTACTGGTGGAGGCAAGAACACTTCACACAATTTCCCCAGAAATTGTAGCTTTTCTAGTTTACTGTTGCAATGATGATCATTGTAATAGCAACGTTTTCAACTCTCATGAATGGGTTAACCATTCATAACAGCTGTGATCACTACTGATCTGTGATTGGCTACAGCTAATCACATGGTACAGGGTGCTGAGATTGGCACAGGTACCATGTGATAGCTATGGGCCATTCACAGCATAGTCAACACAGCTGTTATGAAGGAATAAATTCCTAATAGCTTTGTTGATATTGTGATCGTATTAAATGTATGAGGATCACATGATCACCGGGCCCCGAGTACAGGGATCCACCATACACAGCGGTTGTGGGGGGGCGCTTGAACTTGCATTGTAGCATATGTCATTGAAATTATACAAGTAGGACCTCATTTACATGGACAACTTAGGGCTGGTAAAAATAGTTGAATCAGCTGTGGTTTCATCACCCCCGACCACCTAGCTGCAAGTTAACATGGCCACCAGCCCTTTTAGTCCACAATGACACAGTGCAGTGGAAAATATATAGCAGGTCTCATTTGGTGGGCAGTACCAAACTCACAGTCACCAAACTTTTTCTATATGTGTGAATGAATCATGTCACAACTGCCCTGTAACTGCATGTAATGCAGGGTTGAAAACGTGTTCAGGAGACAAAATATTGCCTTTGAACGGCTTGTCAACTGCCTCTGAAAAGCAATCCACTGTGGATTGAGGGGCAGAAATGATGGTCACAAGTGTAAGCCCTATGTCCTGAAAAAAGGAATCTATTTTGATGCAGTTGTTACATATTCCACACCTAGTTCTTCTAAAGCTATCATCGACCGTACTGACAAGGAGGAAGAGAGTGGGGAAATTCTAATCTCATAGTCTGGTAAATATTTTACAGTATGTTTACTTTCACATTATGTGCCAACAAGAGCGGCAGAAAAAAAAGTTAAACCTTGTTATTATTAACCTTCAGAGACACCAATACCTTGCTCCATTGTGTCACAGACTTAGAACGAAAATGACCTCAACATGATTATTTTCATCATTTTCAGCAAAGGGAAGAGAACATCTTCAGCCATTCCCCATGAATGAAACTATCCTCCACTGCAGCTCCGCATATAACGCAATACGATATAATGGACTTCAGTAATGAAAGGTAATTCTTATCACCCACAAACAACAGTTTAGTATACTATACATTTATGTTTAGGTTTTTTTCTTATTATATGTATTCATTGTATAATTATTATTATTAATAATAATAATAATATTAATAATAACAATAAACAGTAATGATAGACATCTGAATCTGAAGTAGTAAATTACATCAAGTTCATTCACTAATTGCCTTTGGTAGATATTAGCAATTAATTTCTGTATGCTTGTTGATATTTCTGCTAATCTGATGTTGTATGATGGCATCACATTTATTCCTGTCAAGATTGAAAGGTCCATGATCAGGGCCCTCCTATTCCTTCTATATTGAAATGTAATGTAATTTTACTGTCTTCCTTTATATTGTAAAGTGCTGCGCAAACTGTTGCCGCTATATAAATCCTGCATAATAATAATAATAATAATACATTTACTTTGAAGGGGTTTCAGCTTTAAAATTGAGAGCCCGAATAAGCAGCAAAATGCAATTTTTCCAATATAGAGACATTTCCAGTTATATTGCTCTATAAGTTATGGACCTAGTCCATTTAAACGCCAGCCTATAACAGGAATAGTCATGATAGGTAGAGCAATTAGTGTATCCAGTGGTATAAAGTTCAAGCTCCCTGTACTCATGATTTATAAGAGGAATTAAACGTGCAAAGCACCATGTTCATCATTATTTCATAATTCTGCATTTCATGTACGTTCACATGGAAAGAGCCATATAAAGTTTAGATTAAATTTAAAATAGTATATACAATATAAATTAACATTTACATTTTTTTCTTTTTCTGAATTAGTAACCTTGTCACCACAGAGTATGTTTGTATGTTTATGTAACTAAAAAGTCCCATTGATTGGTTCCTTTTTTCTGTGGTACATTTCATTTGATTATTTATGGAGCTGTCAATTAGAAAGCGGAAACGCTCAGGACATCCTTCTAGTTCATTAAAAAAAGAAAATAAAAACCCTTGTTAAAGAGTGGGTGCTACAAATGTCCTTTCCGATGACCCATGTCTTTTTCAGAGGTCCCTGGACACTGCAGGTATTCCACACTTTCTGTTGCACGAATACCTGCTCTTACTGCAACTTGCAGTGGTTTCTCCTGCTGGCTGGTACGACACTACAGAATGTACACGTTGGCAAGAGGAACAACTGCTTGTTCAGTGGGACAGTACAATTACTCTGGCTGTTTAAATAAACTCAACCACAGTAGTGTCAATCCTTCTATAGGTTTCTTGACTCATAGGGCATGATTTACATCAATAGAAAAATACAGTAAATAGTACAGTGATTCTCCTCTTCCACGGGGATTGGCCAGGTATGGATACCATGGACCCATGTAACTATGCAAAAATACCCATAGCTGGAATTCAATTTGAGGCTCAGTTTACACTAGTACCAGGGGCGGAATGACAACTCATGGGGCCCCCGGG